TGTGTGTGTGTGTTGTACAAACATTTCGATCGCATTGTATAATAGAAATGAAATAGATATTTTGATTGACATATATTTCGCATTTATGTGACAAAAGGAAAATCATTTCGTCGAATAGTGCATCGAGTTTTGCATGATTGAAGTCACAAAAAGATAAATTCGTGTAATTAAATTTGTAAACTTTGCATTTTTCTGATAATTCGCCATGTAATTTAATGTAGTGGCACTCACGGTTGTTGAGATCACGGAATTTGAAATGGCTGCGGATTCACAGCCCATGCGATTCGATTTAATTTGGAATTCGCTCTTTACCAAATAGCAAGTGACGAGGGATTCTCGCCTAGCGAAAGAACGGCGGCGGCCACTCCGTCGTGACTCGATATAAATTTGAATCATGAATGAAACTACTCGAGCCGTCAGCGCGTCGTATCAGCGTCCCGAGTATTTCGATAAACAATCGGATAATCTCATACATACATACGTATTCTTGAATGCGTCATGCGTACCCAACAAGGATTGACATTCTATTCTCCCCGTACTAGGCGTATATTACATGTTTTTAAAGAGAAGAGAATAATTCCACAACGAAAAATTACTTGTTAAATCTAAATACCTCGCCTTACCTCATCCGATCGCAAATTTAAATCGGTTTGTCCCATTTAACGCGGTCACGTGTGATTTTCTTAGATTTAACACATTCTAGCGAAATATTTTTCTCAACATCTCTAAAAACATAGAACGAATGTGATGGTGTGTTTCGTGCCTCGCGTGACTCACATACATTAAGATTAATATGTATCGATAGGATACACATGTCCGAGCCGTCATTGAGAAAATTCTATGATCTACATTTTCCACACGAGGAAGGTAATCTTCTTCCGTTATTTCATAAAGATATGTGAACCCTGACTGCAAGGCGACTTTCAACAGATCACATCTTCTAAACTCTCTTTGATCCTTCTTCCTCCTCCCACCTCCCCCACCCCCTCCCTTTCTTTCTCTCTTCGATCTTTTTCTTTTACCACCTCTGAATATTAAATAAGTTCATTTAGCTTTTTATTCTTTTCCATTTGTTGTTGTTCTTGACTTTTTAATCATTTTTTTCGACTGGATAGATTTCGATTGATTCTTACCTCGGAACGAATCACCGACGTATCGATGAGAGTCGGATAGCACAATGTAACAACGAGAGTAAGAATAATCATTATTCTCACATTGCGATAATGATAACTCGCTCTCGCCCGTGAATTCGACATTTCCATTTGTAGACACGAGATTTGTGAGATGGTCCGAAATTCGTCTCTCTTGGTACCTCCGCGTGCACGTGCTTGCCCTTGTCGCGGCACGGCGAACCCTTGGATCCTTGAGTTAACGTGAAGTGGACCTACGTTTAAACACTACGCGTTTCGAGTGGCGACAGCGACAATGCGACAATGCACGAAACGGATTTGCTTCGAGAACACTGACAAATTTTACTCGGTGGTGTGGTCAACCTGCGATGAAGCGATTCGAAACGAGTCTTCGTTCAACTCCAATGGGAGGACGTTTGATTTATTTTCTTATTCGAGATTACCGGAATATACGAGCGTGACCACACGCGCGCGTGCTCTCTCTCTCTCTCTC